GAAGATTCAAAACATCATTAGGGATAAATCGCAGGTAACTTAAGAAATAACTCAGGCATAGAGAGAGTTTGTTGCGATATGCAAAGCATAGGGGCATTCTTCTTTCATTCATTCACTTACTCAACAAATATCTACAGAGTATGTATATGCCCAATGCTATGGCAAATACCAGGAACACAGATAATAACCCAGAGACCTGGCTGCTAAGGGGATTGCAGTCAAATGGCAGCCAAAATAGTGTCATTTGATGTGCTTCTGGAGCCCAAATGAGGGCAAGTCTAACAATGGGACAGAATGGGACAGCTTTGGAATTACAGACACCGCAGTCCTGATTCTGATTCTGCTGCTTGCAAACCGCTTAACTCCTCACTCTTTTCTCATGTGAAAGTGAGGACAAAAATACCCACCTCACAGGGTGGTTTTAAGTACTAAATTCCATGCCCAATACCTGTTAGTTCTCTCTTTCACCCTTCTTCAAACTTCTCTGTGTCCCAACTCCATGTCCCCAGCCTACCAAGGGAAAAAAAAATAGCTGGAGGAGTTGGGGTAGGTTTCATTCACTTAAGTGGTGACATGTGAGCTGGGGCTTGAAAGATGAGTAAATGGTGAAGCTGACAGGCAGGGCCTGTCGCAAGGGCTTCCAGGAATTGGGGACAGTGTGTTCAAAAGCACTAAGGTGTGGAAGACCGTGGCTTTGGGGAACAAAGGATAGTGAGTGGTTTAAAATACGGGGTGTCCGAGGGGTACAGTTGACTGGTGCTGTGAGCATCAAGATGGAAAGCAAAGGTGGATATGACTAGTCAGCTGTTTGCATGTAGTGCCATTTCTAGACCAGAGCAACAAAAACTGACCTCCCTGCCCTGGATGGTGTGGCTCAGTTGGTTGGAGCATCGTCTGCTAACCTAAGGGTTGTGGGTTCAATTCCCAGGCAGGGCATATACCTAGGTTGCAGGTTGGGTTTGTGGTCTGGATGCATAAGATCCCTAGTGCAGGGGCAGCCAATCTATGCTTCTCTCTTGCATCAATATTTTGCTCTCTTCTTTCTTCTGTCCCTTCTTCTCTATCTAAAAAGCAATGAAAAAATGTTCTTGGGCGAGTTAAAAAAATTTTTTTTAAAAGAAAGAAAAAAGAAAACCCGACCTCACTGAGGCTGGGCATTGCTTGGTGTTGTGCAGGAGCCACATTCTCCACTCTGAACTATTATCTACGTGAAATGTGGGGCTTGCTCTCTCTTTTCACTTCCTGGAAGGGACCTAAGAGTCTGAGCCCTGACATCTCAATCTGGGACACTATAATTGGATCCTTTAAGATCCTAAATCTAGTTTGATATGTTTATTTTGAGATCTGGTATCTAATTATTACATAATGTGTGAAACTGAGATGGTGAGTGATCTCTTCAAGTATCTTTTTCCTCATGCCAGCAAAAAAATAGTAGCCCATTTAGAGCACACACACCAAAGAAACTCAATTATACCTATGTTGTGGTATTACTCAATTTCTTACATAAATCAAATTCAACTTCATAGAAAAGAAAATCATTATACTGACATTAGAAGGTTATAGAGACATATCATTATGATAAGGAAATAATTATAGTAGTTCTCTTAAAAATCATGATTTTATAGCTAAGTATGTTATTTAAGGTTGGCTACATTGTAGGCAGAAAAAGGGTCATCAATCTTAGTAAAGAAAATGCTCAGAAGAAAAGAGAGATGAGTTATAGAAGGGGAGACATTGCATTTAAAGTCAGGAAACCTGGTTCATGCTCCCATCTGCCATTTATTGGATCTTTGGCTTTGGAGAAGTCACTTAACTTATCTGAACCTCGTTTTCTTCTCTCATTGAATAAAGAAAGTAATACCCCCATGGTTGACTTATTTTAGTATCAAGTAGCATAGTATTATGTTAAGACGCTTTGTAACCTAAAGCCACTTTACTACTTATAATAATTAATTAGAAAAAAATGACCTATGTTAGAAGTCTACTATCAAAGAAAAAGTATCATACAAAAGCCTACTAAAATCATTGCTGTCAAACTTTCTAATGATAACCCATAAACCAAGTAATGTTACATATATGGTGTTTGAATAATAATTGTGTTCTATTTCCTTTGTAAGGCATTTGTTTATACTAAAATCAGTAATGGCTCTCGATCATTAGACCCTAGAGGTATTCCTTAGAAAAGGGCTCATGATCACAGAAAAATACTGCACATTCTAACTCAACTTGGAGGGACTGATTAAAACATCTGGGGAACCCCTCAGTAACTTTTACTACAATGTTTTACAAACTTCCTGGAGCATAGAATTCTGTTTTCATGTACTAGCTTTAGTTCAAAAGAATATATTTTTTGAATATTTTTAATACAACCTCTTCTTAAACAAAAGCATCCACAACAAAACCAATAATACCAATACTAGGACCAGTATGTTAAAATAATTTTAGAGTGGAGAACCTCAATCAATTCAGCTTTGTCAAAATGGTAATAAATTATACTGCTCTATAAGCTCCATAAGCCTTTTTTCTTGATTGTAAGTATTTTATGTTCCTCCATCGCCATGTGAGTTTGCAGTACTCTCTGAAAATAAGACAAGAAAAGAATGTATTAAGAATCATTTAGAACGTAAAGTGACTTGGCCAAGGTCACACAGCTAGTAGGTGGTAGTTCTGAGATTCAAAGTAAAGCTATTTGCTCCAGAGTCAGAGAATGAGTTGATGATAAATCAAAATGTGTTTCATATTGTGGTCCTGCATGAATAATCATGTTGCTGGTTAGGGCTGCCGTGCATTCTTTCAAATTCCAAGTTAAAACAAACTCTTGAGGATTATTGGGTAGATTCAGCATATTCATTAATGGCTCAAGTTTTTTATTGTAGCACAGAAGATAACAGATTATCAGTTGTCTCATATCACCTAGACACTGCTTTGAGCTCCTCTAAAACTCTAATGATGTTGCTGCAAAAGATGACGAATTTGAACTTTGCTCAGCTCTCCATTGCTTTATGGATGAATGCAATTCATTTCACCTCATCCCAGAACCTGTTAATAATTAATAACAGCATATATAGACAGGTAACCCATAGTTCCCTGACAAATTATGCAATAAACCTGTTTTTGATCTTATTTGCACCAGCTAAGATGGAGAGACCAAGAACTGATTAAATAATCAGTGCTTTGAAAAAGTTGAGCAGCTGCATAGTAAACTAGTATCTGTCTTAGAATTGCATTGACTCCATCTTCATTTGTGTTTTCTCTGGAAGGGCTTATAGAAATCTTGGTTTTGCTTTTATTAAATCTCAGTTTAGACAGAGAAAAATGTGTATCTATCTTGATCTCCCATTAACCTCTCCCAAGTCTACCAATTTTGACATTTTAGTAGCTTTATAAAAGGTGCTTATATTTATTAAATGAAAATCAAATGGAGAAGTGTGATAGTGTAAAGATAATCTAGTTTCAACAAGTTCAAAGGACTTTCAAAATTATTCTGATGTATTCTAATTTTACAAAATGGAAACATTATGACAAACTAAAGAGTAAAGAGGTATAACATGTTTGGTAAGATGGGGGATAATCAGTTTTCATAAAACAAATATTTCTTATATAGACTTTTTAATAATTAATTAATTAATTTGCTTTTAGGTTCCAAAATGGTTCTTCCAATGAAAATACTTATTGCACCATCCTTCTATTAAATTTGCATTGTCGAATGGTTTTAGCACAACTTGTGTATGTGTGTACTGGTCATTTTTTAAAAGATTTTGTTCTTGTTGTTTATTGATTTGAGAGAGAGAGAGAGAGAGAGAGGTTTTTTGGTCCAACTATTTGTGCATTCATTGGTTAATTCTCATCTGTGCCCTGACTGGGGATCGGGCCGCAACCTTAAGTACTGGGATGATGCTCTAACCAACTGTACTCAGCCAGGGCTTACTAGTTGTGTTTTTAATGCTCCTTACTCTTATGCATTATTTGGTTGGATTTTTTTTGTTGTTGTTATTACCCTGTTTCTTAAAATACTAAGGTGCTACCGGAATTTTAGTTAATGGGAATTGTAAAATAAGAGTTCTAGGTATTCATTTTATGAACAGTGAGACTCTTCTGAATAAAGTTAAATTGGACATGTGAGAATTCAGAAAGTAATTTGTGTTACCTGGAGAGTTTGCCAAATTGTGGGGTCAGGCCTCCAAAGGAGAGTATTTTTCCCCCTGAAGAATGACAATGAGTACTAAATAAACAGGGGAGTGTGAACATATTTGTTATATGGGCTTTCTTCGAAACGAGAATCATGGTTAACATCAGAAAATGGTTTTAATATAAACAATTTTTTTTCTTAAAATGGTAGGTAGTGGCTTTAATAAACAGAATTGAAATGTCATTTATTATATCCTGGTTTCTTTTTCATACACGTTGAGGGTTATGCTTATTCTGGACTCCCAGGGGAAAAAAATAACCCTAGGAAAGCCTCCTACTCATGGTTAAGTGTTGGGCAAGTTATGTCCCACTTCCTTCTTGCATAAGGTGACTTTAACTGTGAATGACAGGTTTTTTCATTTGTACCCCTTCCCCATTTGTTTATTTATTTATTTTCCTTTATGTTACAATCAAGTGTGACACCCTCACACCTGGAGGAAGTTTAGTCACCTACCAGAAAGCCTCTTACAGACTTCAAAGTGAAGATCAACGTGAATTCCCGCGTTCCAGATAGATCCAATCTATGCAACCTTGACTAATGAAGAAACTTAATAGTCCAGAAAAACAACAAACAAACAAACAAAAACCCCAGTCACACAAAGATCTTCTCTGTTTTGGGGAGCCCGGGCCAGGGAGCACGGACTCGCAGCTCCCAGGCGTTGCTCTTGGGGGGCAGCGGACAACTCAGCCCCACCTGGGAGGATGCTTTTGTTTCTATCTCAGGTTGCTGCCTGGCGATTGGTGGCTGGGCTGCAAGGGAGGGTCCACAGGAAACGCGACACTGGGGATGCTGCCCCCTATCACATGATGGAAATTTCCACTCTTGGACGAAAAGAAAAGGAAGAAGGTTCTCTCAGTCCACCCTTTTCCGATACTTCCCCTGGATCCCAATCCGGAGAGGGTAGGAAAAAAGGCGGGTGAGTGAAAGTTTTTATATTTTCTGTTAGACGTAGAGACTTGTCAATATGCAAACTCGTGGCTGGATCCCAGCTGGGATGTGTGTATTTGCGTGCGTGTGCGCGCGCGTGGAAACATGCACACGTGTGCAGCCCGTCTCTCAACCGTCTGGGGCTTAGGTTAGGCGTTGCGGCTCTTCATAACTTGTTGATGATACCAAATTCTTAACATTTTCTAGAGGACCCCGCTCTGGGTGCAGGCTAATGACCGGATTGAATAGAAATTAACTAACACACGGAGGTAAAGGAGTCTGCCTGGGAGGGCTCGAGTGACTCCCTTCGCAAGGAGAGGTGGCTGTGCCAAGGCAGCCTGTTCTCGGGGGCGGGAAGGGGATGGCCGAACGTGGGGTCGTCCCGGCTCCGGGATTCCCTCAGGGCTGGGGTTTTGAGTTGGGTGGACCGTGCCGTGCCGCCTGCCTATCCCGCGCTGGCTCCGCATCAGCTCAGGATGGAGCTGGCAAGGTGTTACCCGAGCCGCGGGACCAGTGCCCGCGTCCTCAGCGCAAGGGCACTGGGCGCCGGACTTAAAATAGACCCATCGTCCCTGAGAGCTGGGCAGCCCAGGAGGACAGCGGGGTTCCCCGGGTGGGGGTCTCCGACCCCGGGAGCCCCGAGGGAGTCTCCATCAAGAGAGGAGGAAGGCCAGCACAGTGCTGGGTCGAGGGTCCTTGGCTCCGGTCGTGCGCGGGGGTGGGGGGCGGTGTGGAAGACTGAGCCCGCGATTCCCAGGGAGGCGTGCGCAGCCGGGTTGGAAGCCGAGTCGGGTGGGGTCGTGCTGGAAAGAAGGCAGGGGCGCAGAAATGACGAGCGCGAAAGGTGAAGTCCGTGAAACCCAGAGAGGACGTCGGGGAAGAGAGGGGAAGTCCAGGGAGGAGGGGAGAAGGCAAGAATTTTAAGTCCAGGCCCTAAGACGGTGGGAATGGGAGGGAAAATGGAGAAAATAGAATGAATGAAGCGAACAGAGAAAGGAGCCCGAACTTGGGGAGCCCCTGGGAGGGTGAGTTGGGAGCATATCCGAGTCCGGAGACTAGAGAGGTGAGGACGGGAACCAGCCAGCTGTTCGCAGGGAACAGCGGGCGGAGAGGGGCTCTTCGCTGGTACAGGTGGGCTCTGTGTCCTGCGTGGGCGCCGTCTGGGGATGGAGGCGCTGAGTGGGGGGACCCGGGAGTCCCCCTGTTCCCCTGTGCGCGCCGGGGACCAGCCCAGGAGATGTGCAGCGAGTTGTTGATTTGGTTAGAGGAAAGGGGCTGAACTAAACTGGGGAAAGCCAGCCAGGGAAACTTTGTCGCTGCGGTGCCAGGGCGCTCGCCGGGAGGTAAGGGCGCTGTAGGTGGGGGCCTTGAGATTCTTGGTGAAGGACCCGGAGATTCCCAGCCGCAGTCCTCCGCAGTCCTGTACAAGTCTGAGGCTGGTTTCATCGGAAGAGGAAGGGTTGACTCTTGTTCTGTGCTTCTCGGTGCAAAAGGCGCATCTCTACCTGTCTCAGAGGGATCTTAGATCCCGAGAATAGAAGTGAAGTGGTAGCTGCTACCGTGGAGCTGCAAGCTGACCGGGCCCGGGCGCTTGCCGGTTCCCCTTCCTCCAAGGCTCTTAGATCTGCATTCTTCGTTATCCACTCCGGAGAGGTGCAGCTCTCAGGGGAGGAGAGAGCGGCCAGGCCTCCACCGTGGATGGCCTGTTTCCCAGTTTCCTAGTTTCTTATATTCATCTTTAGTTGCTTTCCTGCTGTACAGACACAATCATTATGCCTGAAATGGCTTATGGTGGGAAGAGAGCATCCCAGGTCCAGGGCCTGGTAGCTAGGGTTATAGCTTGGGCTTGTTTTAGCTTTGGTTGCAGCCTCTTGTAGACCCTAACTTTTGGGTGGGGGGTGGTTGGAGTGGGGCAATTAGCCCATGGGGGTTCCCCCCCCCCCACTGTAAACAGTCTCTAAAAGAGTCAGTGAGACTGATGGGCTCTCTCACAAGGAAAGAGAGAGAGAGAGAGAGGGAGGGAGGGAGGGAGGCTCAAATTTTAACAAATGAAGTTACAGAAAAATCCATGCTCTTGGTAAAAGTTTATAAGGACAGAGACACTGAAGAAAACATCTAATATTCCCAAATTACTAAATACCATGTGTTCAGAGACAGGAAGCTTTTATTAAGCGGATTTTACCACAGACATCAAAAAGGAGGAAGACTGGCATCAGGGGATAAATAACTTCCCAGGCAGCAGGGATAGGAAGTGAGCTGAGGGTGCAGGGCTTGGTGCTCTGGGGAGGCAGGTCTCTGCTAGATTAATGATCACAGTGAGATATCTATCTCTCTCCTTTTATATTACCAAGAGCTCCTTTTATGTTAACATTTACTCTCATAACCTTGTAAGATAGATTCCATTATTATACCTATTTTAAAGATTTGGAAATGGAGATATAGTGTGGGGAGCATAGAACATCTTTGGAAGTTCTATTTGGACATTAATTTTTCCTAAATGTAAATGAATTCTCTTTCACTTTGGATTGTACTTCATCATGGGCAGAGCTGGACAGGTGACTTCTTAGGGACCTGAAGCTAATTTCTTGGTCTATTGCAGATTAATCCTATCTTAAGAAAGCCAATGGCATAACTGTGCAGCTAAAGACTAAATCTTTGCAGCCCCAGGACTAGATTTCTTTTTAAACAGGTGACATTTGAGAAATGCCTAGTATAACTATGGTTACCTGTCAGTGTAGCTCATGCTGAAAGCAAGCATCATAAGCATAGCAGCTTGTGAACTCTGTTCTAAATGTTTTCCTTCTTTTATGTTATTGCCTTTGTTCATTTTCATCAGTGTTTTTCAAGCATCTATTCCTTTCCCCCCATCCTTCATACTGCTTTACTGATATTTTCTAGCTATTTTTAAAAACTGAAAACCCTTTGTTTACTTTTTATATATCCAACGCAATGATTTCTATAAAAATCAAAGATTTAATAGGGTTTAATGACTACATATTTTTAATATCTATCAAAGCAATAATACAATTTTTAAAAAATGTGCCCCCATGTATCACCCAAAATGATCTCACAGGCCACTAACTGCCTTGATGACGTCTTGTGGGAAGGGTGAGGGACAGGCGTAGGGGAGGGACAAAAGAAAGGAAAGGGGGATTCTCTAAGTCAGCCTTTGAGCCAAGCCCTTTGCAGATGCGAGTCACATTTGGTCTTCCACCATGCTCCCTGCTATAGGTGCTGGTCAGCTCCGTTTCACAGAGGCAGATACTGAAGCTCAGAGAAATTAAGGAAAGAGCCAAGGCTCACGCAGCTAGGAAGCGGCAGTGCTGGCATAAGAACTATGTGCCTCCTAAGTCAAAGTTCCCGCTTCCAATAAAGGCAGCAGTAAGAGAAAGACTATTAGGAAACAGACACTTAAGGAAAGAAGAGGCTTAAAAAGGTGTTGCACAACAGAGTAGGATGCGAGAGATGGGAGCATGGAAAAATCGAATCGCTTTCACATGACTGCAAATCTTCCTCTGGTCTTCCTTCCACTATTTTCGTAATGACCTAATTCCATTCATGCATTCCACAAATAAGCATTGAGTATCATTATCTTTCAGAAACTGTGTCAGAAACTTTCTTTTATCCCTGTTTCCCTAACACCTACCACACTCGTGGGCAAACACTACGTGCTCAAGAAATGTTTGTTAACTAAGTGAATTAGTCTAGTGGGGGGAAAGAATAAATAAACAGTTATACTAACAGCATGTTGAGGGCCAGGGAAAAATCAGATTTAAGTACACTGCCCCTGAACCTGGCTTAGAAAAGGGGTTAGACAACATTTCAGACTAGGTGATGCCTGAACTAGGTTTTGAAGCAGAAATAAAAGTTAGTCAGGCAAGGGGAGTAAGAGAGGATTCTCAAGAGAAAGACCAGTCTCACAGAGAAACGAAAAGGTGGGGGCCACTCTGGGAAAAGAGCAGTTCAGAACTGAAAAGTGCAGGATGCAAGGGAGGCGACTGGGAGGAAGGTGTGATCTAGGAGGTCCTTGTACACTGTCTCTGCAAGTGTCTTATTGCTCTGCACCTCCCATGAAGTTCTGAAGTGCCGATCTGTAGGGAACAAAATCACTGACTAAAGTACGTCCTCACTTAACATGGTCAACATGTTCTGTGACCTTAAATAGAAGGACATATAACAAAACCAATCTTACCATAGGCTAACTGATATAAACAAAGTTTAAGCTCTTCCAAAATGACATTGAATGAAAGGATATTATTTGAGGAATTTGCAATACATTTTATTATTTTATCACTTTATTATGACTCTTTCTGTAATAGAGAGTTATAGTTATTTAGACTCCTTATAATGTTAGTGTTTTAAAACACATACTCAAATGGAAAAACTAGACTTTGTTGTCTTCTGCTTGGGAAAAAACAAGTTATTTCTCTGGTTCTCTAGTTCTCTGGTTCTCTGGTTCAAGGGGACATTCTTTTTTAGCATAGACACGGTCCACGCAATCATGGAAAATACTTCCAAACAAATGCTCTTCTGTGTTTTTCTTAGGGAGGTAACTTGAAGGGGGCGGGGCAAGGGTTTCTCCCTTTATTTTAGTTTTTAGTGGCTTTATTTTTTTTATTTCATCGTGTTACAGAGGAGTCAAGAAGTAAAAATGTATTTAAAATATAAAGTGAGAGGGGGTGGAATAACAGTGAGGAATAACAGAGAGATGTTTATGCCAGTTGAGAGTCTGGCTTTTGATAATAGACTTTAAACATTTAACTCCCAACACCCTTCTCCTTTTTTCCTTTAGGAATCTTTCATGCCAATTTTTCATTCCAGGCTCAGAGGTCTGCATGTCTTGTCACCATTTTCACACTTGTACAATACTGCTAGTCAGAGTGTTGTTAAGAAGGGAATTCAAAGGGTGAAGGAAATCTACAAATAACCCCAAACTTAATTTCAATTAATAGATTAAGTTCTTCACTCTTTAGGATTATATCCTTGCCA